GGTCGGTCGGGGCGGGTGGGAGATCCGGGAATATGCTGCAAGATGGTCTCTGATGTTGTGGCAAACAGTAATACGCAACAATGACTCACCGTCCCAGCTGTCCTTTCCTTTAGAAATGGCACAGCTAGTTTGGTGAAGCAGCAGTAAGATGGCATGAGTTGATACACTGCTATATGTCATATGTCACGTATCACCGCTTATGTCTCATCATTGTGCAGCAATCATTTCCATTGTCCTTCTTAGCTCCTCGCTGTTGTTGATTGGTGGATTCCTCCTTCGAATTTCCAGCGCTTCTTTTATTTTCCCCTCCACCGGGTCACATTTCGTTCCTTGTAGATTCACGCGCAACTTGAGTCAGTTGCACGTCATTCGTGTGGCGCGCAGAACGATGCCTCGAGAAAGGGTTTATCAGATAGCTGCGGGTTCCGAAGAGCCCTTAAGGTGTTCTTCGAGCCTTTTGTAGAGTGGGTCGTCCAGTTTTCAATGTAGAAACCCGCATGACGCACACGCCACTTCGTAGACACGGTGTTCTTAGCAAAGAGGCAGAATCTTCATCGTTCCTCCTGGCCAGTAAAGATCAGTTATTCGCGGCCACATTGATGCTTCGTATACGTCACGACGACGTAAGAAGACCGACGTAGCGGTGGGCGGGCGGTCGAAAATATCAAGCGGCATCGGCATCCCATGAAGCTGGCTTACAAACTCGATGACATCCTTCGCGAAGGAGTCTGGAGAGAAAGGAATTATCAGTGACGCCTCCTGGTGCCTGATAGGGCGCCAAACAACGTGCACCGTATACTTCTCGAAAAACGCATTGGAACATGAACGCGTAAATTGTTGAGCGCCCGTATCAGGCATCAGGTAGGCTCGTTCCACTGATAATTCTTTTCTCTCAGACTCCTTCGCGAAGATGTCAATCGCAGTGTAAGCGAGTTCAGGGATGCGATTCCGCTTGATATTCGTCGACCGCACGGCCAAACGCTACGGTGTCTGTTACGTCGTCGCGAGTATACGAAGATCAATGTGGGCGCAGAAAACTGTCTTTACTGCCAGGAGGAACGAAAGATTTGCCTTTTGAAGAACACGTGTACGAAGTGGAGTGTGCGTCATGTGCGATTTCTACATTGTGAGACAACTGGACGACACTCTACAAAAGGCTCGATGAACACTAAGGGCTCTCCGGAACCCGGCCCAGCTATCCGTATAACCCTTTCTCGAGGCTCGTTCCTCGGCCACACGATGAAACGTGCACTGAACTCAAGGTGGGCGCGTGATCTACAGGAACATAAGTGACCCGGTGAGAGGAAAATAAAAGAAGCGCTGGAAATTCGGGAGGAGGAAATCCACCAATCCAACAAGGCGAGGAGCTAAGAAGGGACAATGGAAATGATTGCTGCACAATGATGAGACACTAAGCGGTGATACGTGACATATGACATATAGCAGTGTGTATCAACTCATGCCATCTTACTCGCTGCTTCACCAACTAGCGCTGTTGCTATTTCTAAAGAAAGGACAGCTAGGACGTGAGTCATTGTTGCGTATTACTGTTTGCCACAACATCAGAGACCATCTTGGCAGCATATTTCCCGGATTCCCACCCGCCCGACCGACCCTCCGCTCCCACAAGAATCCGGTCAGTTATTTTGTTGATTGTTTCCCCTTGGAATTCCTTGCCTGCGTTTGTAAAGCTTAGATGGTGTTGGTGTAAGCTTTGAATGTTGATAATTGTAGACCTGACGAGGGCTTAAAGCCGAAACCGTCTATGCAATAAACGACTGCGACGAGTTTCATTTTATCAATCACAAAGCAAGTCCTATCATTGTTGATCAAATGTGCCTATCACTGAGACTCTATAATTTTGTAGTGTGAAGGCTCCAGCAATTTGACTGGACAACAATGACAATTTCCTCATCAGTCCCTATCAGCTGTTACCACCTCCTATCACCTACCGTCGATATCCCCGTCTCCCACTCTATATCATTTTCTGAAATCAACGCCCAGTTTCTTGTCACCCACCATAATATCTTGTGGCATAGCGTATATCATACCTTGGAACCAACGTCCCCTGCTGCTGTGTCCCGCACTATGGACACGGTGCCCTTCTCGTTCCGGCCGCTTTTTCAGATCTTATCAGCTGTTATCATTCCCTTGCCAATAATGTCCTGTCCCACGACACTATAATCACACTTGAAACCAATGTCCCACTGTTGCTGTGTCCCGCACTATGGACTCGGTCACCATTCCCCTTTAGGACCCCTTATCGAATCTAATCAGGTGTTATCACCTTCTGTACCCAAAAGTTCCCGTCCTGTCGTGTCTATCACTCCTTGTAGCTGTCATCTATCTTTTCTGCGACGCTCGCTATGAATTTCGTGACAGACAAACAGCACACACAGAAACCACACACACTACACGCTGACAAGACATACTTAGCGGATTATATACCAGTCGCCTCGCGGCTGACGCCGCGCGTGGCTCCTTCTGGTACGAGCCCGGACTGCGCACGGGCGGCGCGCGGCTTCGCGCGTGTGCTTTATTTCACATAATTCTAGATTCAACTGATATCCCCTTTTGTTCTGTACTCCATTTTTTTCCGGTGTCTGAGTACTCTTTGAGGCTAATTTTAACAGATTCTTCGTCTGACTGCGTCCACCTCGGAGCAGGCCCCGGCCCCAATGTTTTTGCCCCGCAATCCTCACCGCGACCCTCTGCTGACCTTGATCACTCACTTTTTTCACGTCTTTTGAATTGCTCTGGGGCCGTTTTGCAGATCTTTTGTCTGACTACCGCTCCACCTCGGAGCAGCTCCGCCCACAATGTTTTTGCCCTACAATCCTCACGACGACCTTCTCTTGCTGACCATAATCACTGTGTCTGGAGTTTTCTGGAACCGTTTTTTAACAGACCTTTTTGTCTGCTCCGCCCCCTCGGAGCAGGCTCGCTCCACAATGTTTTTCGCCTACAATCCTTAACCGACGACCCTCTGCTGAACTTAATCCACTTTTTTTTCGGCGTATTTTGGAGTGTTCTGGAACAGAGCTACAAAATCGCACCCACAAATCCTCACGCGAGCCACCTCTGCTGACCTTGATCCCCTGTTTTTTCCGGCTTTGAAGTGCTTAGGGACCAGTTTTACAGGTTTTTGTCTGGCTCCGCCCACCTCGGAGCAGGCTACCGCCACAATTTTTTGGCCCTTACAATCTTACCGACGACCCTCTGCTGAAATTAATCCAACTTTTTCCCCGGTTTTTGGAGTGTTCTGGAACCGAGCTACAAACAATTACAATGAATACCCTGCTAATTATAGAGCAAGCCCCGCCCACTGTGGGCGGGTCTCAACACGCTTTTGAGCGTGCCCTATATTCGCCAGATATTTACATTCTAAACTGAGGCTTATTGCGACTTCCAAAACACCTCGCGAACCGGGTTACTGGATTTGCGAGAAGCACCGCCCACCTTGAGTACGCCCCGCGCTTTAGGGTGTACCCGCACAGTTAGTCTGGCGACTCCTTTACTAACCTTATTCCCTTTTTCCCCATCTTTAGCGCTGCCCGGAAGCGAATTATGAACATTTTGTTGCGGTGCCCCAAACTTTCGGGGAGTGCCCCGCCCACTGTGGGCGGCTTCCCTTAGGTCAAGTGTGCTTTTATATTTCTTGTCCACGCCTACCCATCCCCACCTTGACCGGACCTCTCCAAGTCGTTCTTCAGGCTGGAACCGAAATTCCCGCAGACAAACTTACAAAACAAACAAACAAACAAATTCACAAAACAAACAAACTAACAAACAAACAAACAAAACACAAACAGACAAAGCGAATTATATTATGGGTGATTGTCCCACGCCCTACCCATCCCCACCTTGACCGGACCTCTCCAAGTCGTTCTTCCAGGTGGCACCGAATTCCGGACAGTACAAACTTACAAACAAACAAACAAACAAACTTACAAAGCAAACAACTAACAAACAAACAAACAAACAAACAAACAGAAAAGACGAATTATATATATGGGGTGATAGTAGGATAGTAGAATAATCTTATAAACTCTGTAACGCCCATCTGTTTTAACTTGTTCAAGTGGGGTCCTTATGGCTTTCCATGTTATCTGAAGTAACACATGTATTAGAACACCGGAGTTCAGCCGAATTAAAATCCTTAAATAGAGGCAGCAATTTTGCTGGGATCCTGTCTTGTGAACCTACGGAATGTTTTGAGTTCCACTCGCACAGAATTCTTCGGTTGGGTGCTGGAAGGTGCTCAGAAGCCAGGGGCAATTTTTAGCCTGGCACTGGCTTTCTTTCACGTAGGTGTTGGATGGAAATGCAAATGAAAATGCGAAAAACAATAAACCTCAAAAGGGGAAGAAGTTATATGGACCAAGTCCCCAACCAGTGACGTGCCCTGGCGCCACCACTGGGGAGAGTGTTCCCATGTGTAGCTTCGGTGGTCTGGAAATGTGTTGCTTAAATCCAAACCACATCTGATCGAGCAATTTACAGGCGTCAGAGACACGGATAAATGAACACGCTTCGGAGACCATCTTTCGCAAAAAAGGCTACCATTCCAAAGCTTTCCACAAAAACACCTTCGGAGCTCCAGGCGGAGCGACACATTTTTGGGCCATCCAGAAACAAAAAAGTTGGTCTCGGACTTAAGAAGCAGTGGGGTCGTGCCGACCGAAGTAACGTGTGTCACCGCTTTAGAAACCGGTGGATATGTCGGTAGCACTTTAATCGTTGAGTAATGTGCGTTGCTACCGCGTTAGCCTCCGAGGAACCTCAGAACGAAAAAATTCAGGTTTTTTCCTCAAATTAGTCCTTCCACGGTCCGTTCAAATGCAAGTGTTCTCTTAGTTGTCCATTTTTATGCAGTAGAAATTTTATTGGCTAGAGCGATCAAAGATTAGCTATTATTGTCGGTATAATCAAATAAATAGAATTAAATGTAGATCTTCTGATGAAAGACATTGACTTTACGCTGAGTCTTCCCAGTCCTCTCACTTTTTGAAGAACGAACTCGTTCCCATGCCGAGTGGCGAACCAGCAGCACCACTGTAGATCCCTCCAATACCGGTTCCCAAAGCTCCACCGTAAAGTCCTGTTGTACTATATGGAGGTCCTGAATAAAAGGAGATTAGCTGTGGCAAATAGATTTCTTCGTATGGTTCGATGTTCTGTATTTTCTAGGCTGTGAGGCATACATGTGTGTAAGAAGCATTTTCGCCTTAGACAGCACTAGTGTTTTGCAAAGAGAGAACCGATTCCAAGATTGAAGTATGCAAAAAAAACCAAAACAGCCGCTCTTTGTCTAAAAATGTTTCCGTTGTGCTATCGCACACGTCTCTGTGACCTCGTAAGTACATAATTGCTTACACCCAAAAAATAACGTTTAAAAAGACCGTAGCAAATAAGAGTTACCAAAGCCACCACCCATTCCCATAGCTCCTGGTAATCCAGCCATGCCCATACCATATGGACCTGAAAAGCATTTCGTCAGGGCACGCGGCTGGAACATTCATGTCGCGAGTCTAATCATTCTATCTGAGAGACTTACCAATGCCCATTCCAAACATTCCTGGATATCCCATTCCATATGGCGATCCCATTCCTCCCATTCCTCCTGTGAAGTATTAAATTATTTCTGCATAGTGCGTCTTTTTGTCAGCCTCTAGGTCTGCATCCAGTGAGGGATACCGGAGAACAGCATTGAATCATCGCTCACAGCATCAACTTTGACGCTTTACGGGTAGCTACATTAAAAATTCAGGGTAAAGTGCTGCTGACGATGAGATGTTATCTATGAGCAAGATTGAGTCATCCACCATTGCTTTTCCTTTCACAAGGACCAAAGCTATACATTCTTCTCCACGAGCGAGAACGTATACGGTATTTGCTGCAGCCTTTTCCTTTCCTAATTTTTCCTAATTTTTTCCGACCGCTAAGACGGCCTTGCTCTCATATCAGAGGTACGATCAGGAAAGACGGACACTTACCAGGGTTTGGAAAAGCAGTCATGCTTTCTGCTTCAGTCTCATGTCGTATGACTGTGATAGCACTCTTCTATTACTGCAAACATGTGACACACTCTTATGTAGGCCATCTCATTCAAAAACGAAGAGACCTACAGAGAAGTGGCAGGAAAGCAAGGGGGCTCGAGCAAAGGGTTTCTCCCTCGTTTGAAAGCTGGTAGACTCAGTTGAGGATTCGCGAGCTTTAGTCGATAGAAAAAAAAACTCGAGAAACTGATATAAAACGTGGACAGCCAAAATCAGTGTCTGGTTGTCGAGCAGTATTCAAAGAATGCGACGCAGCTCAAATTGGATTCCGTGCAGGACCAATAATTGCATAGTGCTGTTATGAGAACATAATGTGGTCTATGATTTCGGTCCATAAGCCAAATGGGAAGAATGGAAAAGTTGTGGCAGAGGAGGGCCTATGTATTCTGCAGAAGAAAAGTGGGTGGATGATGTTAATAGTAAAATGTCTGATCACAGTGGCTGAACCGTTGTCAAGCTCCCCAGCTTCGAGCAAGGCCGATGTAAGATTTCGGAATGATCTACTGATCTACCATGAACATTACTTTTAATCGTTACCTACCGTATTAGGTAACACTTTTTGCTCCAAATTAATGATCTCAAGTGACTATACTATATAAACCCGTCGTTTTCTGTTAGTTATATATCTTATTTCGAATAAATATTATCTGCCTATTCTTCTGCAGTCTACATTCCGCGGCTCAACAGCTGGCATCCCCACAGCGAAGGCCGGCCGAGTTGCAGGTGCAAAACCTGAGAATGGCCGATTCAGGCGCTTTTGGGTGCCTTAGTCTCCTACAAAAGGAGAACAGATCCGATGCATGTAGCAGCAATGCTCTCCGCCCAAGGCGTCATTTAAGACTATGGGAACGCACTCCAAGCCTAGATGAACGGGTGGGTGGTCTTGTAGTACGAGTCCAAACCAAACTTTGGCTTTCAATGAACGGGGATTAGATACCGCCCCAACCCTGTCATGAGCAATTACGTGGGCTCAAGCGGATGATTATCACAGCTATGGATTTCTGCAATATGGCCTTAAAATGGCTTTCTTGAAAGAACAAATTGTCATGCCATGCCTCGATGATCGGATCAGGAAATGTTTATTACAATACTAGGCTTCACGCAGTCGCATTATTAAGAAGTGCTCTGACAGAAAAAAATGCTGAGACCAAAATTCACTTGTTTTATCCCCCCTCCCCTACGCCCTGTCATATCAAATGCTCTGGTAAGTGGAAGGCACCGTTCGAAGGCGACCGCCCCGACGATTAGACGATAGCTGAAACCAACAGCTTTTTCTTGGCACCAGTTGAAGAAATGAAAGTGCTAGGTGTCCAAACGCTCTCCTGGCACCAGCAGGGGTCACTGATGAGAGCCGAATTACTTAATTTCGAACATATTGCTTTTTACCTGTTTCTCTCTTCGAATCATTCTGATAAAAACCCCACGTTATTCAGTGGAATGGTCTAATACATTTTAGCAATTCTATTGCTAGAGTGCATTGGATGTTTAACGTTTTTTGCGCATTTGCCCCATTCACTTGAACATAAAACTCGAATGTCTCCTCAAAAAACAGTGTGTTCTGTCAACAGGTATGATCAACGCATCCCGACACCAACAATAGCACGCTGTATTCGTTGGATCCAAGCTTAAGGAAGGGCGAAGTACTGCGCCTCAATTGTTGGAAAGGGAGCAGTGGCAAGAGGAACATGACCAGCAGTTTGAATCTATAGTGAGCTAGGCCCTCCATTGCCCTGGAGTCTTTTGTATCGATGGTGTCGGCTAGGAGAACACCGCAACATCTTCGCGTATTGGCTAGAATATCGTTGACCATCATGAAGAACTTTAGCAACATATGCATAGCTGAAACCAACAGCTTTTTCTTGGCACCAGTTGAAGAAATGAAAGTGCTAGGTGTCCAAACGCTCTCCTGGCACCAGCAGGGGTCACTGATGAGAGCCGAATTACTTAATTTCGAACCGAATTATTGCTTTTTACCTGTTTCTCTCTTCGAATCATTCTGATAAAAACCCCACATTATTCAGTGGAATGGTCTAATACATTTTAGCAATTCTATTGCTAGAGTGCATTGGATGTTTAACGTTTTTTGCGCATTTGCCCCATTCACTTGAACATAAAACTCGAATGTCTCCTCAAAAAAACAGTGTGTTCTGTCAACAGGTATGATCAACGCATCCCGACACCAACAATAGCACGCTGTATTCGTTGGATCCAAGCTTAAGGAAGGGCGAAGTACTGCGCCTCAATTGTTGGAAAGGGAGCAGTGGCAAGAGGAACATGACCAGCAGTTTGAATCTATAATGAGCTAGGCCCTCCATTGCCCTGGAGTCGGCCATTTTGTATCGATGGTGTCAGCTAGGGAGAACACCGCAACATCTTCGCGTATTGGCTAGAATATCGTTGACCATCATGAAGAACTTTAGCAACGAATGCAAGTTTGACAGCTTCACGACTCTGAATGAAAGTCTCGATTGGAGTAGTAAAGGGAAGTGATTAGCGTTAGCCAACGATGTCCTGTTGACGGTATATCCACTTCCCGAGCGTTCTTGTTCAACTGTTGTCGGGTACGAAACTTTGACCAAAGCTTTCTAACGGTCCATCTTTAGGTTCTCTCAGTATAGCATTCTGTGTTGGACTTTCGGATATTCATCGACAAACATGATCTTTTCAGCGAACTTGAATACAGTATCAGGAGGCCTTCCCTGAGCATGACAAGCGGAAATGACATGCGACAAGGGAGTTCGCTCTCAGCTGGACCTTCATCTTATCCCGAACAGTTTCGTTTCGGATTCGATCTGCTCGGGTAAGTTGCAGGCTCCATAGAAGCCGCTTTCACAAGGGAGGTCTTTCAGGTCGTGGCGCGCTTTTTGGAAATGGTTTGGTGGGTCCACACAAGGATCACAAAAATGGGTTTCATTTTTGCTATGCGGTTCTGGGTAGGTCAAAAACTGAGTGAAAAGAATTTGACAAGAATAGGCGGTTTCAACAATCTTAATGGGTTCCTTTCTGCTTGTAACTTCGAGCATGCATAGTTGATTCGTTAATTAGGCTTTGAAAATAGATTTGAATTTAGTCAAAATGTCAGTATCATGTAGTAACACACTTGGCATGCACCGCAACAGCGATGTTTTTGTCAGAGGTCCTTGATGCTCACTGTCGCCGGATCGGATGGCGCAGCAGATAACTCGATGGATTCTGGATGGGACGACAATACGGACTTTGTGGATCGAATCCTCCTTGCGGCAATATTTTTCAACGAGCACCTCACAAACTACGCACGCTCGAAGTTACAATCAGAATGGAGCCATCCAGATGGTTAAAAACGCCAATTCTTGTCAAATCCTTTTCACTCAGTATTTGACCTCCCCAGGAACGCATAGCAAAAATGAAACCCATTTCTGTGATCCTTGTATGGACCCTTACAACAAGCAACAAACCTTTTCCAAAATGCGCGCCACGACCGGAAAGGCCTCCCTTGTCAGCTCCTTAGCATCATAGGCTCTTGTTTTCTCCGTCGTCATCTGCTTCTTCTCAATTCCATAGGTAGCGACTTTTTGCATAATAGAGGTGTCGGTCTTTGATTTCATGCGTATGGCTGCGTTCATATTGCGAGAACGTTGCAACTCTGGAGAGAGGTTCTTGTTGATGTTAAGCATGAGCCTGTGCTCGGTCAACTCTCTCTTTCAGCTGCTGACCGACTTCCTTTTTGGATCTAGGCACTACCTTTGACAATTATGTAACATTTCCCTTCCACATTCGCAACTTTTCAAACCAAATTCAGAACTTCCCTGATTTCATCCCATCCCTATTGAAACCAGTCTGACCATCTGCGATATACCAATTGTAAAGGTGTGTCTATGAGTACATCGATGTGTGAAGAGAAGAAGTGGAAACAAAAAACTCAAAAAAATTATAAAAATTTGATCTTCGCAGCGAGATCCTTAAGAAAGTTGGTGGGGTCGCCTGCGGTCGATATATCGGTATTTTCAGTGGAGAGCAGAGAAAAAAGTCACAGAGGCAGGTGTCAATATTGAAATAAAATTTGAACAATCGAGAGCGAGCTGGAAAGTGGACGTGCTACCGGTGCGGGACAGTGCAGTTTCTCCTAGTGTGATCTTGCTAACTAGCCTACGGAGTAGAGAACCTTTCATAATTATATGTGCCTACCGTAGCCTCCATACGCTCCATAGCCCATCATGTTTTCTGGGCCGTAGCTCGACCTGTACGGTGTAACTCTGAAAATGCTTGAATCCAAGTATAAACATCTCTCTTACAATTCAAAGTGAGTGAACTAACGGTGCTATGCAGAGAATACTGAGTACAAATATAGTCATGGTGACTTGTTTCATATCTGGAAATATATAGTTCAGCAAAGCTGGATTTTTTTAGAAGATCTATCAGGAAAAACCTGAATACAAAGGCAACAAATGGAGACAGCACTCAAGTAAAATGATGAGGTATTCGCTGAAGATGGATTCTCTCCTTGGGATGAGGCACGCGCTCTACTTCCACCCAGAATTCTAGTGGCTTATGTAATGCGTTGTGTTCAATAAACTTAATTG